GGTACTCATGTAGGAGGGACGACCAATAGCCTATATTCACATACATGACAACCAAAATAGATGATAATAACACGATAAGTAAGCTGTTCCAGCTTGAGTAACTGGTGCACAGATATAGATACGTGCTAGTGTGCAAAAGTGAGCATAGTGAAACTGAGGAATACCTCTAGAGATGAGAACCGAGTCCCGTTAAAGGACTTGTAAAAATTATCAGTGGAGTATTGACTATCAAACCTGATTAAAATGCTATAATGATATTCTATTCTGTCATTTCTACAAACATGGGGAAAAATCAATATATATCAACATTATAATTATGTGACTTTCTCTGGTGTTCCCTCTTTTTTAGGAATATCGGTGTTCCCAACTTATCAACTGTCGAATCTGTATTAAATCTAGTTAAAAGTCAAATCAGAGTAAAAAAAGTAATACAGATCTAACGGCTGATAAGCAGGGAACACTGGTGTTCCCTGTTTTTTAGGAATAGGGGCATTCCTTACTTTATCAGCTGTTAGATATGTATTAAATCTAGTCAAAAGTCAAATCAGATTAAAAAAGTAATACAAATCCAACGACTGATAAGTAGGGAACACCGATGTTCCCAAAAAGAGAGAACACCAGAGAAATTTCCTATAATTATAATGAATACTAAAAACCAGGACATGATCCAAAATTCAACCTGACAATCCGCATCTCCAAAATGTGCTGAATAAATTAACCACAGAACTGACAGAAATCTACATACGTCATGTAATTTGGAACTCCAATAACACAGACGAGAGGTTTTCTTTCAACCTAAGTAAAAGGGAAATATACTTGAAACTCGAATTCCCAAAAGCATCACGTAATATTTTACGAGAAAAAACAGAAATTAAATAAATCACAGAACAAAAATCTACACTGAACATTCTAAAATAACAATATTGGCATATTTTCCATTTCCATGGGAAATTCCATGTGAAACGAGAATCGAGAATCGAAATTGAACAGAAAATCATGAACAAAGGAAAATCTTAATTCTAATTAAAAAAAAAGTGATTTTTCCAAAGAACAAAGGAGCCTATAAGAGCTCGCATGCAATTGAAGATTAGAATCGAATGATGGCTAAACTTACAGAAATAACGGAGGGGGAGGCGGAAACGACTTCGTCGCAGTAGAGAAGCATGACGCCTCTGGTCTCTTCAATTCTAGGGTTGCCCGAAGAGAAAGGAAAGGCTTGCGTGATGTTGGAGATTGAAGAAGAAGAGGAAGAATCGTAAGGCTTGCCGGAGATCGTCGTCGGCGTGGATCCGGTGACTACTTTGCTCAAACTTGTTGATATAGGAATAGATGGATGGATGTCAGACAGTCAGAGTAACTATGGCTTGTTTTTTTTTTTTTTTTTTTTTTTACTTTATGTGGAGAAACCCAAGGGATGGTAGATGGGATTCAGTGCGGTCGATAATTTTTTAATTGGAATACAAACACGACACATCAGTAACAGTTGTTTACCGTCCTTCGCATGTTTCTTCCCTTTTTTTCCCTCTTCGTTATCTCTTTCTCCTCCTCATTTAAAAAAAAAAACAGAGAAAGAAAAAACTTTTTTTTAATTAGACCCCGCTCAAAGAGTGTACAAAAAAACCATAAAATTGAAACTGACCGAAGAACCGACCGCTCAAAACCAAAAACGAGTGCCACGTGGAACCGAACACAGTCGGTTCGGTTAACCGACTGACTTCCTCGAAAGTCGGTTCAGTTTCGATTTTGCGTGTAGAGAGTCGGTTAAAAACCGAACCGACCGAGATGGCATTTTTTTTTATGTTTTCGTTTTGTTTTACTTATGACAATTTAAATGTTTTTTAAACTTGTGTTTGTGCAATTATCAATTTTGATGTTGTGCTTTGTATTCATTTATTGTGATTACGTGTTTGCATCTTTACATTGAAGGAAAGTTTTACATTTTTTCGTACTTGCGGGTCAAAAATGCAATTAAAGATGCTGGTAACCTGATGGTTAACTAAGGTCATCTTCCTGATTACCAAAACTGAAAACCGACCAAAACTGACCGAAACCGAACCGAAACCGAAGTTCGATTAACCAAACCGAAAACTGTTAGGTGCGGTTTGGTTTCGGTTCCAACTTTTAGAAAACCGACATGGTTGGTTCGGCCACCGAACCGACCAAAACTAACGGTTTTTAACCGACGAATACCCCTACCTTGTTCATTTCACCGATTCGAGTTTTGCTATAGTAAAAAGCTCTCAGAAACAGTCACATCTAACTTTTTTGCTACAGTAAAAAGCTCTCACATAAAATTACATCTCAACTCAAATTAAAAACTCGAATCAGCGAACTGAACGGATAATTTATTTATCTTCTTCAATCATTATGCATATATGTATCTTTTCTGTTCCCTCTTTTACTTCTCTATTTCCTTCAAAAAAAAAAGAAAAAAGTTAAGAGTTTGAAGTAGTGCTGAAACTTTGAACGGGCCGCTCGCGACCACTATAAAGTCAGAATTTTTACCCGATGATCGAGCCTGAACTGCCTGAATTTTCAGGCTGCCTGACCCGATTTTCTCCTTGGACAGGCATCGAGCAGCCTTTGGCTACCCGTTACCCGACCGAAAATGCCTGAATTTTTAAATACTTTTTATAATATATATTTATATATTATCATAGATAATTTGTAATTCATGATTGTCTCGTTAAAAACCTTACCAAGAAAAACCCAATTGGGCTAAAAACTTGGTAAGGAAAAAGAGTGCAATCATTATGGGACGAATTACAAATTTGACGAACTTACAAAGTCTATACAAGATTACAATCACACTATACAAAGTAAATAAATATTTACAAATTACAATAATAAAATTTAATTTAAAGTAGAAAGATCGTCTTGAAAATTAAAAGTTAATCTATTAAATTCATTTATCCATTCTTGGCTTGCCGGTGAGATTGTATCGTGTAAGCGTTGGTCGGAACGATCCCAATCCTTGATGCACACCAAAGCTTCAACAATATCCTGTTGCAAAGTGTTTCTCTGTTCTTCAAGTATTCGGCCGGTTGTACTGAATGCTTGTTCGGTTGCAACAGTGGAGACCAAGATAAAAAAAAATATCCATTGCCAGTTGTGTTAGGATCGGCCAAGTTAATGCTCGTGCCCTCCACCACTTAATCAAATCAAACATTTCACTATTGTCTACAACTAAGCCCTCACTCAGGTATGCCATTAACTCGTTGAAGTCACCGCTGTTGCTGCCACCTCTTGATAAAGATCCACTCCCAGATTCTTCTTGACCTTGAGTCGTCGTCGTCGTCTTCTTCTTCTTAGACAACCCGAAAACATTCAAGAATGAATGCGGATCGTATTTCCAAGTGGTTAGACCGCCAGTTTGACAGTCAAATGATAATTGTGTTTGGCGGAAATCGGGTCTGCCTCCTTGCTTTTGAAGATACTTTTCAGAGTGTCTTCACAAGTGTGTAGTGCTGTGAATAGTGTTACCTTGTAATTTATCACCACAATATTTGCATTGAGCTATGTATTTAATGTTGCCGTTATTGTCGACCTCCTCGAATGTGTTGAAGTGCTCCCAAACTACTGAGGTGTGCTTGCATTTTTTCCTAGAACTTGCAACACTTGCACTAGCACTACCGCTTGCCTCTCCTCCACGCCCAACAGTGCCACCACCATTACGTCCACGACCTCTAGTACGTCCATCAGGGCTCAGATTTGCAGTTTCCTCAGCAACTCTTTCTGTAGTTTGCGATTCATGAGTTTGAAAAACATTAGGAAATTGCCCTTCTTCGATGTTGAATTGGGCATCAATGGGAACATCACCACCATAACCAGAAGAAGCCATTATGAAAAATAAGAGAGATTGAGAGCGCTTTGAGAGAGATTGAGAGCGCTTTGAGAGAGATTGAGAGCGCTTTGAGAGACATTAAGAGAGATCGAGAGAGATTTAAACGAGATTAAAAGAGATTTGAGAGAGATTTAAACGAGATTAAAAGAGATTTGAGAGAGATTAAGAGAGATTAAGAGAGATTTGAGAGAGATTGAGAGAAATTAAGAGAATGAGAGTTTTTGGGTGAAGAAAATGGTTAGGGGATGGGGGGTATTTATAGAAAATTTTTTGGCTTGAAAAAAAAAATTTTCCCCCCAAAAATTCGGTTCCAACAACTATGTGAAATTCGGGCATTCAGGTCGGGTTCAGGCAAATTCGGGCAACTGTCTTAAAAATAGTCGTTGGGGTTTGAAAATTCTGGCACAATTCGGGCGGCGGTCGGGTTAAGCAAAAAGAGCCGTTGGGTTCAAAATGTGGGCTAACGGTCAAAAAAATCGGGCAATTTAGGTTATGCGGGGAAATTTAAAAAAAAAATCCGGCGGGCGGCGAGGTCGACTTCTACACCAACAGCGGGCAGCCAAAATGGATTTTTATCGGGCTGCCCGAGCCCGTGCCTGACCAAAATGGTCGGACCGGCGGCGAATGGCGCCTGCCCGCCGCCGTGCCTGAAAATTTTCAGACAACTTTCAGCACTGGTTTGAAGTTTGTAGTTGTACCCTAAGTTCAGAGCAAAAAAAAAAAAAGTTTGTACTCTATGCTTCTTTACTGTTAGCCTAGGCTCTTAAATCTCTGTGTTGATTGTTGACTATCTTCTTTTTCCCTTGCTAATTTCTAATATTAGAACCCAAATTCTTGGATTAAATTTAGTTGCTTGACAAGTGACCACTGTCTTGTAATTCGAAAGCAAGAGAAAAAAAAAAAAAGAAGACAAACAAGTACTTCAATGAGTCATATAGTCCAAAGTCATACTTTCCATAGAATATGAATTTTGTACTTCTGTAAACCAATATATTGATGATTCAGTTGCAATACCAATGCATTCATGTTCATCAATCAAATTGTGCGCAATCTAAAAAACATTTGTAAAGCAAGAGTGGAAATATTGAACTTCACAAGTAGCTTTAAAAGGAAAAAAAAAAAAAAAAAAAAAAAAAAAAAAAAAGGGGAGTGTCGAACGAGTCTTTTTCATTTATAAATTCATGGACGAAACAACAGTTTCTTGGTCTGACATTACTCATCACGACACGTCTCTACTACTTAAGTCTTAACATTAACGTTCTCAAGCCACAACAATCCTCCCTAATTGAAAGGATTCAAAGAATTATTCAAGAAGAAGAAAACACACACAACAGCTGGCAAACGTCAAGACTCAAAACGAAATTAAGATTAGAAAACATTTAATCCAAAGAAAAGGAAATACTTCAAAACGGGAAAAAGCTCGATAAAACAAATTCCAATTTGATGAAGTCTAAAAAGGTGTCTTTAGCTGATCATCAAAGCTGCTTCATTGTATGGAGAGCCTTAGACAAGGAAGACATAAATAGTTGCGAACCATAATGATTCTTTGTTGGTGCTAATTTGGTTCATCAGTTCAGACAGAAGCAGGCACTTGGGACTCTACTGACTTCAATACCTCTTCACCTATTTCTTTGCATCCTACCAACTTCTGTATAAGCCGAAAGTCATCCTTCATGGTCAATCAAGCAAAATATTGATTCAAACTATAAAATGTGCTAAAACATATGCGGACAATATGCCTGCATTAGATATTTCGGTACCAAAACGAAATAGCTACTAAGATTTAAGGCTGAAACTAAGGCAACTAAAATAGTATTTACACTTTGTCACTTCACAGAACTAAAACAAAGTTAAAATAGTAAAATAGTATTTACACTTTGTCACTTCACAGAACTAAAACAAAGTATTTAGGTATGTTATACCATTCTCAAAACTTTATGGAAGACAAAGTGAGGAATAAATGGAAATTAGAAATCAACTTACGGTTCCAGGTGAATATATGTCGCATGTCCGGAACCCCCTATTCAGTGTGTCCAGAACAGCATCCTCAATTCTATTAGCAGCACGCTCTTCTCCTAGTCCATACTTCAAAAGCATAGCAGCGCTGAGCACTGTTGCTAATGGGTTCGCCTTATCCTGGAATAATCCATTGTATACATTAAAGACATATAACTTTAGGAAAATAGGAGAAGAAAATGTGATGCAAAGGCAGACCAACCTGTCCAGCAATATCAGGAGCGGAGCCATGTATGGGTTCAAAAAGTCCTGGTCCCTGTACCAAATGAAGAATTCCAATTTAGAAATTTAAAAAAAAAAAAAAAAAACACTTGAGACTCTCTCAGAACAAAACCCAAAAGGAACTGCCTTTTTTTTTCTCTCTCTCTCTAACTGACGCAATGAAAGCTTAATCAACTGGACAATGTAAATCCTATGCCTTACCGATTCCCCGAGACTAGCAGATGGAAGCATCCCAATACTTCCAGTAATCATTGAAGCCTCATCAGATAAAATATCACCGAATATGTTGTTTGTTACAATTGTATCAAACTGCCAATATTTCATATCAATACACCAGAAGACTTTTAACTCTAACCAAGCGAGCTCCAAAACAAGAGAAAATGAAGAGAAGCATAACCCCGGGGAGTTTACAAAGCCAACGCCAAACCTGTTTTGGATTGCGAACAAGTTGCATTGCAGCATTATCAACATACATGTGTGAGAGTTCAACATCGGGATATTCTGAGGATATTTCCACAATGCATTTCCTCCAAAACATGGAAGCCTAGAGAATCCATTGAATCAGTAAAATTTCACGACAAATATGGCAACAATTCAGATACAACGTTAAAAATAACAACAGATAATAGAAATTTCACAATGAACACTTTGTATGTCAGTTCAGAAAAGTAACGAGTGTCGACCAAAAAAAGTACCTCCAACACATTTGCTTTGTCAACGGAGCAAAGTTTTCCCCGCCTCTTCCGGGCAGTCTCAAATGCAACACGGGCAATGCGCTCAATCTAACAAACAATTCTTTGACATTAGACATTGTGCAGGAATGGTATTTTCACTGTATTTCATTCATAAAATGTAGTGTACAATAGCGGGTTTATATACTACAACCGAACAATCTAAAGAGGGAAAAAAGTCCTAGAAATCTGTCAGCCATAAAGTCCTAAAATTATTATAAATCATCCTAGGTCAACTATGATACAAATCAATCACAATCACAATCAATCATAATCCGGGATTTCAACATTGCCCCTCAAGTTGGATCATAAATGTTAATCATCTCCAACTTGCAAATGAAATCATCGAAGTCTTGCCAGGATAGCCCCTTGGTGAAGATGTCTATTGTCTGCTCTACGGTGGGGACATATGTTAAACATATAGTTCCATTCTCAACCTTCTCTTTGATGAAGTGTCTATCCACCTCCACATGTTTAGTTCGATCATGTTGAACCGGGTCGAGGGATATGTTGATAGCTGTTTTGTTATCACAATAAAGTTTTATTGGTAACTTCATTGTGATTTTCAATTCTTCCATAAGCTTCTTCAACCACAACCCTTCACACATTCCTTGTGCAACAGCTCTGAACTCAGCTTCTGCACTACTTCTTGCCACGACATTCTATTTTTTACTCCTCCAGGTAACCAAGATTCACCAAACATAGGTACAATATTCGGTAGTTAATCTCCTATCCTTGATTGACCCGGCCCAGTCAACATCTGTGAAAACCTCTGCATTTCTACCTTCATTCTTCTTAAAGAGCAATCCTCTGCCTAGGGATCCCTTGAGATACCTTAGGATCTTGTAAACAAATTCTAGGTGTACCTCTTTTGGTGAGTGCATGTGTTGGCTCACCATACTGACTGCAAAGGCAATGTCAGGTCTAGTGTGAGATAAGTAAATCAACTTGCCAACTAACCTTTGATACCCTTCCTTCTCAACCGGGTTACCTTCATCAACTACCCTCTTTCCAGCCTCAGTCGGTGTGTCACTTGGTCTTCATCCAAGCATCCTGGTTTCAGCCAAAAGATCCAGAACATACTACCTTTGAGAAACACTGATGCCCCTTTTTGATATGGCCACCTCCATTCCCAATAAGTACTGCATCTGTCCCAATTCTTTTACTTCGAATTCAGTAGCCAGAATTTTCTTGAGTCTCCATTTCACCAAGATTATTCCCGGTGAGAACTATATCATCCACATACACAATTAGTATGGTCTTCAGCCCATCTTTCTCTTCATGGAAGAACATGGTAATGATCAGAATGTCCTTGCTTATACCCCTTGTTTTTTATTACCCTTGTGAATCTCTCAAACCATGCTCTTGGTGATTGCTTATGACCAGAGACTTGTTTAGTTTGCAAACCCGGTTTTCTTCACCTTTCTTGCAGAAACCTAATGGTATTGTCATGTAGACTTCTTCTAATAGACTCCCATTTAAGAAGGCATTCTTGATGTCAAGTTGCTGCAGAGGCCAATCCAGATTGGCTGCAAGGGATCGAAGTACACGAATAGTGTTTAGTTTGGCTACAGGTGCAAACGTTTCTGTGTAATCAATATCGTAGGGTTGTGTAAACCCCTTTGCAACAAGTCGAGCCTTATTGCGTTGTACCCTTCCATCTGCAGTATACTTCATTGCGAAAACCCATTTGCAACCAACAGGTTTATTTCCTCTAGGTACATTCATCACCTCCCATGTCTCATTCTTTTCCAAAGCTCTCATTTCCTCCATAACAGCTTATCTCCACTTTGGTGCCTTCAACGCCTCTAGTATGTTCCTCAGAATTTCTGTTTCATCAAGGTTAGTGGTAAAAGCATGCATTTTAGTTGACAAAGCTTTATAGATGAATTTTGAGATTGGATGGAGAGTACATGACCGGTATGTAATCTGAGGGCAACAGGCAAATCTATATCAAGAGACTCGGATGTATTAGGAGGACTAGGAGCTACCACCGGTTCTGACTCTTTTGGTACCTTGGACATGAGGTGTTCCTTGTACCTTGAGTACACAATTATCTCCTTGACACTTTGTTCTTTTGCATCTCCCCCTAAGTTCAAGTTTTCTTCTAATGATGGCAAAGAATATTGCGTTGGTGTAATAGGTTCAAGATCGGAAGTAGGTTCAGGATCAGATTAAGATGATGGACCTGGTGGTATAGTAGGTTCAGGATCGGATTGAGATGATGGACATGGTTCAAGATGGCTTGAAATGATAGGCTCAGGGAGGAACATGTCAAAGAATCGAGCTTCACTCATTTTCTCCACCTGAAGGTCGGGCTTTTGGAAGTAGGGTGTGTTCCCGAAGGTCACATCTCAGCTAGTAAACTCCATTTTTGTGGTGGGATCATAACATTTGTAACCTTTATGTGTAGGTGCATATCCAATGAAAACACACTTGTGAGATCGGGGATTGAGTTTGCTTCGATTATGGAATGAATATGGACAAAAGTTGTGCAACCAAACACTTTGAGGGGCAAATATGAACCGACCCGATAGGTGGGAAAGCTTTTCTGAAGTCTTTGGAGTGGTGTTTCAAATGAAAGGACTCGGCTGGGCATTCTGTTAATGAGGAAGGCGGCTGTTAGAATAGCATCCCCACAAAACATTTTTGGCATATTTGTGGTGAACAGTAGTGCACAAGCAACTTCTAGAAGGTGCTTGTTTTTCGCTCTGCAACTCCATTTTGTTGAGGAGCATCAACACAGGATCTTTGGTAAATAATCCCGTGTTTTTGTAAATAGTCCCCCAAAATTGTATTGAAAAACTCAGTGCCGTTGTCGGTATGGAACATTTGGATTTGTGTTTGGAATTGTGTTTGCATTCTATTAATGAGGAAGGTGGTTGTTAGAATGGCATCCCCACAAAACATTTTTGGCATATTTGTGGTGAACATTAGTGCACGAGCAACTTCTAAAAGCTGCTTGTTTTTTTGCTCTGCAACTCCATTTTGTTGGGGAGCATCAACACAAGATCTTTAGTAAATAATCCCATGTTTTTATAAATAGTCCCCCAAAATTGTATTGAAGTACTCAGTGCTGTTGTCGGTATCGAACATTTGGATTTGTGTATGGAATTGTGTTTGTACCATCATGTGAAAATTGATAAAGGTTGAACGAACTTCATTTTTTTCTTTCAATAAATAGACCCAACAAACACATGTATGATCATCGATAAATGTAACGAACCATTTTGAATGATTTCGATTTAGGGTACGATAGGGTCCCCACAAATCACTCTGAATTAAGGAGAATGGTTTGGTGGTTTTGTACACTGATTTAGGAAATGACGCTCGTTGATGTTTTGCAAGTTCACAAATTTCACACCGGTAATCAAATGATTTATTCAAAGAAATAGATGGAAACACATGTTTCAAGTACTGGAAATTGGGATGTCCCATTCTAAGGTGCCATAATAAAATTTCACTTTCACTAAAGGTAGATGCAGAATTACAAATTGCAGTTTGACATTGTTTACCCCCATTAGCCTCCTCAAAGTAGTAAAGTCCCTCACATTCCTTAGCACTGTCAATCGTCTTCCCCGATGATAGGTCCTAAAAAACACAGTGAGTGGGAAAAAATTTAGCATAACAGTTGGAATTTTTTGCAAGATGGCTAATAGAAAGGAGGTTGCAGGATAACTGTTGGAAATAGAATATTTGGTATTAAATGTACCGAATCATAGGGCTGTAAATAGAAAGATTATTATAGGCTGTAATTAGGAAGATTTGGTCAACTAGAATAAAGTGTAATTAGTTAGGATGATTTGCGTTTTACATACTTACCTATAATAGTTTCTTGGTCTCTGTATTTATAGGTATTCTGTAAACCTTAATTCAGTGCAGTAATGATAATTCTTTATACCCCTCTTATTTGTTTATATGGTATCAGAGCGGGAGGTCTTAAGTTCAAACTCCAGTAATTGTACTCTTTATCCCCATTTAAATTGTCATCATGTGTTGGGTCTTTAATATATCTCAGGCTTAAATATTCACATGTTGGGCATTCCAATTAATTTACCCACACGTTTACCCATTGTCCAACCCACACGTGAGGGGGAATGTTAAAATATAAAACTATTGTTGGCCCACCTCCTAAAAGCTTAAGCTTTTGGAATAGATTGGTAAACTAACAATAACTTTGGGACATGAAGAACCGACTCTAAGATTAGAGAGTCTAAAATCCTAATAGTCTATTTTCCCACAATTAATGAAAGCGAACCATCTGCAATTTTAACTTTAATATTGCCAGCACAAGGTGAATATGATGATAACAAGTTATAAGAATCAGTCATATGATCGGAGGCACCGGAATCAACGATCCATGGGGTTTTGACTCGAGAAGTGGTGTTTAGGGCACTCAAAAAATTATCTTTGTGGGCTAGAGAGGTAGTAGGAACATTGGATGAGGACTGGCCCATTTGGAAACTAGAGAAGATTTTGTAGAGCTACACCATTTGCTGAGTTAAAACCGCTACATGTTGCTGTTCCATTTGCTCCGTTTGAACCTCCTTTTTCCTCAGCCGTGACTTGGTATCCTCGGCTCTTGTTATTTTATCGGGGCTTCCAGTCAGCTGGCTTCCCGTGTATGTCCCAACAGGTCTCCTTTATGTGACTAGGCTTGTGGCAATGCTCACACCAAGGCCGCCCCTTCTTCTGATTTAGGCCTGATCTAGATGATAGCCCACGGGTTACCAACGTTGATGCTTCAGCAGATTCAAACGTGGTCTCTTTCAGCATCACCTTCCGCCGACTTTCCGCTCTTCTCACCTCAGCGAATACCTCTCTTGTTGATAGCAGGGGACGTCGACTAAGAATTCTCCCTCGGACATCATCTAAATCTCAGTTGAGCCCGGCAAGAAATTCAAAAATTCTTTCACTTTCAAGTTTCCTCTTGTACGGTACATTATCATTGGGGCATTCCCACTCTTCTTCAAAACTCATGTCGAGTTCTTGCCATAAAGTTGTCATCTACATGAAATAATCAATCACATCTCTTTGTCCTTGCTTCATCT